GTAGAATCATAACTAACATTTTATGATGGGAAAAGGCTTAAGGCTAGTTTTCCTAAGTTCTATAAGTAACTTGAGAAGTTTCCTTTAAAAAATATATGATGGAAGTAGTTTATGGAGAACTTATTGTGCCTCTATCCACTTTTTTTTAAGCCTGGCACGAATGCTTGGTAAGGGAGATGTAGCCTATCCGATATGCATCCACTACTATGCTACTTGGGTACTTGATGGAAACTTACTGGATACTTCTATATCAGTTCCCAAAAAATTATTTTTTGTTCTAAACATATCAAAGATGTATTATAGATGTATCTAAGACTAAGGCTATGTTTGGTTTGAGAGAAAGGGAGAGAAAAGAAAAGGAAAGAGAAAGTAAAAAGAAAGGAAAAGAAAAAGGAAAGAAAATGATATTCTTTCTATTGTTTGGTTAGAAAGAATATTGTAATGAAAGTAGAAGAAAATTTATAAAAAAATCATTTTCTCTTGTTTGGTTAGCTTTCTAAGAAAAAGAAGAAGAAAATTATCACAACATATTTTTAATTCATATTTTTTGAAATTAAATTTAGATATTAAACAATTTACAAAAAATAATTAAATTAAATTGTGATTCTACCATATTTAAAAAAAAAAAATTATAAGTTACCGAACATGTTTGCGCAATCTTAACTCAAGACAATTTAGTTAAATTTACGATGACTAATTTGCATATAATCTTACATGGTTTTGGACTTGCAAGTCATTCATAAACTCAAGTGAAGAAAGATGATTCCGAATAAAGTCTAGAAAATAACGCATAACCACAATTTTGTATCAATATCATTCATATAATGGGAAGTAACAAGTTAATAAACATGTATTTAAAAAAATGGCACTTTCGTAACACAAAAACTTGAGTGGCCATTAGCATCAAGTTCGTAAATAATAATAAGCAGAAGCACAACCACAATTCCACTAATTAGAGAACAATATTTCTTATACATAATATTTGCAGAAAGAAAGGTGAATGAAAAAACCCAAACAAATCTGAAGTAAATGTCATGATATTCCTAATAAAAAGTATAATCCATTTCTTGTTACAAGTTCTATTACAATCAATTTTATATAGAAAATCTTAACAAAGTGTATTACAATCAATTTCATCTAGAAAATCTTTCACCAACAAAGTCTATTATAATCAATTTCATATAGAAAATCTTAAACAGAGAGAGAGAGAGATATAAATCTGCCGAAGTCCTTGATTTTTGACTTTAGTGAGCCCCTCAAAATATCAATCCCGCATCCTTCTTCCTCTGAAATTAATTCAAAAAAATTCAAATAAGTACAATATAAACATCAAAAACCTATAAAATAAAGTCTTTAACATTCTTTTAGAAGAAAAATGAAACTACCATTTTGTCGTGTCATGGTTCTTTTCTTAAGACTAATCATCAGAAATGATGAAAGTGGCTTATAGACAGCCAAAACATTAGAAATTAAGATGAGCATAACTTTGTTTCCGAAATTTGAAGTATCTTGCCCAAGGGGCGTAGACATCAACTAAAAATAAAAGAAAATATTAGCTAATTTCCATCTGGGTCGAGGACTAAGATGAGCATTTCTTTTTTTAAAATGGAAGAACAAGAGAGGAACTTACAAGAGTATCAATTTGACTGATTATATTTGCATAGTGCAACGTCGAGGACTAAGGTGCTCTGTTTCACTCTGTGACTTATGTATTTCCCTATGGCAACATTACTTCATTTACCTTGAATAGGGTCGAAAAACACTGATTGGGGAATAGTCTCTATTTGGAGATTTGCTTATATTACGGCTGAGGAAAGAAAGCAAGTTACTACATCAGATCTTAAATATTTCTCTATTGTCAAGAATAACCCAACTACCCAAGTCTAGAGAAATTTGAAAGCTCCTTGATCAGATGAGCTTATGGTGATCTCCTCTCTGGCTTATTATTATGTCAGCCTGGAATTTTTGACATCTTAAATCTTTGAAATTTTTGACATATAGTAAATTGCAGCAACCTACCCAGTATTTGTTCAATCCCACTAAAATGTACCCAGTGTTTCTACCAAGCTAGAAAATCTTTGCCTTCGAGTACCTACCACACTTTATTATTAGCTTGGCATGTGGTTGTGGCAAAGAAAGATGGTTATCCTAAAGTCAAATTTCCTTGCTATCACCATAATCTTAGATGTCGGTTTTGCTCCCTTAAAACCTGGTTAGTCCTGTGCCAACTGTACATTAACTAGCTACCCCACAAATAACGTATATATGAAACGAAGAAGGTTTGTAAATGTAATTAGAGATCATTTTCTAAGCCACAATTTTTTTAAGACAATGGCACTTGCATTAAGTTAAATTTGAAATTGACACTGCATGCTCACCAAAGAAAGGTCAAACGGTTACAAAGAGCAATTTATTATGTTCAAAAGAAAAAAAAATGTTTGTAAGACATACCAGCAGTTCCAAAGGCATCATGAATCTCCAAGTGTAAGAAGTGGACAATATCTACAAGCTTCTCTATGACCTGTGAATACACTGGAAAAAAGTTAGGACTTCAGAGAACGAGACAATTTGACATTTAACTAGGTACCAAGACTCACCTCCTCTAGACTCTTTGCCCACAAAGATTTTTTCTTTAAGCTCTTTACATGTTTCCTTTGGCTCTTCAACTCTTGCCTTAGAATTTGAAGATTATCACCTACAATGAAGGGAGAAATATATTGTTGACGAAAATTAAAATCAACAAATTTCTCAATTCAATAAACTTCATGTACAAAACAAAAATATATCTTAAACACATTGATACAGGCACTACTCAATTTAACTCAAGTAAGCTGTAGTCATTTAACCATGCAGCCTTTGTTGTATCTATTAGAGGTACAACATCAAAATGTATGTGAAGAATGTTCATGGTATTAAAGAGACGAAGTTCTTAACATCAAAGTTCTTATGTTCAAAGAAAAGCAGAAGCCTTCCTTAACTAGACTCTGAGAAGGATTAGTTATGGTCTTGGTGCATGAGAAATATATGGCCAAATCAATTGGCAATCCTGAGGGACCAATTTTCTCACTCTCACTAGCCATTGCCCTTGTGACAGCATTGTTTAATTTCATAGAAGCAGGCGCAAACTCGTTCGATGATTTTGAACGAACTTTTAATTAAAGAGGCAACAGTTAAACAAAAAGCGAACATTATCAGGCTTATAAACAAACCGAGAGTTAGCTCTCTGATGTCGTTCACTACGTAGCTGTTGTCAATACCTATGTAGCACGGACACGGATCCGACACGGCCATCCGACACGCCGACACGAGGCAAATCCTAAAAAATACATAGGATACGTGTGTTCGACACGTGTGTCCGACACGGACACGACACGACACGGCTTCATGTTATGCGTGTCCGTGCTTCTTGACTCAATACAGCGTAAAATGCCTTCTAGGAAGGTCAAGGCTTCAAGGGAGAGCACAGATGAGAAGAAAAGGCATAATATAGCTCTCTGATAACATAATATACTGTAAGCATCAAGATAAAAAAATACAAGTGAGAAGTCCAAACTGAGGACTTTATACACGATGTGACGAGATTTTTACCACCTTCTGGTAGTTCTGGATAAACCTTTGAGCAGCAGGCATGCCGAACTATGCTGAACCCTCAAAGCATTAACCCCCTCTTAGTGATAAGCAAACGTAAAGTCACCGCCCACGAGTTACCGCATTCGAAAGAATATTATCAGGCTTGACTTCCACCATGAATAATGATGCATTACATGAATTTTTCATGAAGATGGGTAGATCCTAGCAATATCTACACGTTCCTATACTTAATTCCTTAGTCCAATGTAATCTTAGATTTTCTCCAAACATAATGATAATCTAAGGACCCATTCTCCTGAATCAGTAGCCTGGTTATCTATATACAAAATTGAAATACCAATTCCACTTGAAGAAATTTCAAAAGAAGTTCAATAAATTAAAGCAAACGTGGAAGATCCAAGATGAACAAGAATCACATAAAAATCACCAAGATAACAAGAATCAACACACATCAGTGCCGCTTCAAATGCACGATAAGCACAACTGGGCAAGTAACCTATTTTAAGAACTAAGGAATCATATTTTAAGAACTATCTAAGGAATCATATTCACAATGGGGAAAGATAAACAGATTTTTTCCTCCTTGTCAATGCTGCTCACATGGACATATTACTACAATAACTATTTACTTAAATAAGAGCCATATTTTTGCAGATGATTGACAAAGAATCTTTAAACATGACCATGAAGTTAAATAGTTATATGAATTCCATTGCAAGAAAAGACATAAGATTTATTTAAAAACCAACAAAATGAAATTGACATATACAAGGCAAAATAGTGCTTTTTTCCAGCAAAACAGAGGCAAAATAGTGCTTTTCCCCCTCTCACTTTTCTGAGAGGAAACGTATTTTGGTGTAATCCTCCAGCTAATAGATAAGTGTTGAATTGAAATTTACAAAATAAGAGTTAATATTCAGTCCAAAACTGAAAAATCCATACTCTTTACTTGAATAAAATTAATTTCTGAGAGTTTTCATAGAACCAAGCAACTACCTGTTAAGCTCCCTCCCCCTTCTTCATCAAATTCCAATGGGTTAAAACAAAAATTACCAAATTAAGGGAAGTTATCAAAAACCTTACGATGGCAACAGCGGTGATGACGCTCGAGGACGAAGAGGGCACCGGCGAAACCCTAGCCGATCTCCCGATCGGGATCGATCCGGCCTATCTCATCCCTCGGAATCCGTACTCGAGAATCTAGACCATCGGATCCTTTGTCGCTCCAATAATCGACGTCGTCGTCGCTGCTGTCGTCGTCATCTCTAGCTAGGGTTTGAGCGAGAGCGACGCAATCCGAGATCGGTGTCGAGAGTTTGGTCGACGTCGAAGAGAGAAAGAGTCGGGGTTTTGGGGAGATCGATCGGGGTCAGGTTGGGAGGCGACGAGCGAGCGATTCCATCACTCTCCCTCGTTTTCACCTGGGCAGTGGAGAGAAAGGGGAAAAGAAAAAAATAAGTGACTGTTTTTCAGCAGTGAAAATTATTTTCTTTTTCTTTTTTGTTTTCTTTCAAACCAAACAGTAGAAACTTACTTTCTCTTCTATTTTACTTTCCTTTCTCTCCCTTTCTCTCAAACCAAACATAGCCTAAGAGGCTAAGATTCTAATACATGAACTGCAGACAAACAATTTCATTATTGTAAATTTATATGGTTCACTTTCTAACTTGAAAGTCTTATATGTTATCTGAGTTAGTGTTCTTTAACCATTATAACCTTGTTTTCTGCAGCAGTAGGTCTCACATGTATATCAGTACATGTATCATAGATTTTTAGAACATACTGTATCTAGATATCTATAGCATATCATATCCGTACTAGTGCAACCTAACCATTGTTCTCTACTTGTTTCTCTTATTTCCCGCTAGAAATATTTTATAGAGATATCGTGGTACCCTCTCCTTCCTCCTCTTCAGGACAATAAAAGAGAGAAGAAAAATAATATCTGAGGTATTTCTACCTTTCTTTCAGGGCCAACTTCTGATTCCCCCCAGAATGTAACGCTGCAGAAGCCTTATCACATAGGAGTTACATAGGCACCCTTGAATAACTTTGAACTTTACTGCTGCTGAAGTTAAACCACTTCTGTTACTTCAATACATGGTGACAATTTTATAAACGAACAATAAGTTGAAGGTCAATGAATATGTGACTGAGTATCCATTATTGTCCTTTATTATCATTATCGCCTCTTGTAGTTTAATGTATTCAATATCCGTAATTTCATGTGTTTAGGTGATGCAAGTTATTGTGGGGTCGCATAAATCTTTTTTTTTTTAAATCTTCCTGAGATGTTACTTTCTGCCAGGAACTTCAATCATTCTGCTATGATAAAGAAGATTATGAAGGATTGCCCTTTGATTTCTTTGGTGGATTCATAGGCTACTTTGGGTATGTTAAGTAAATTATTTTGTACCACAATTATTGCACTACCTGTATTTTTGACCCTGTAACTACTTGACAACTCCTCAACATTAATTTGTGATTCATAAGCTTTACTCCATAAGCAACCTGAACACAAATTATGCCTTTTTTTTACTGGTCCCGAGAATAAATTTGCATAAAACTAATGAATAAAAAAAGAGGCGGGTAAATGATTCCTTAACCTGGCTACATTAGGAGGTTTTAACCATAGAGGTTATTTTCTCTGTTAAGGAAATTCATTAAAAGGTTTATAATTCTGCAGTTAGTTTTAAAGACAGCATATGAAAGCTAAGGGCTTAAATGGAAATAGTTTAATATTTCTTCTTCATATGTACATTTGTGGCATTTTATTTGGTTAGCCATATTACTTCTTTTCAGGCCATTGCTATATCACTATACATACAGATCTCATGTTATTGAGTCTTAGACTTCACAATGAAACTTGTTCAAGGTCATCTAAGTCGAGTATTCTCTGTTCACACACTATTGAGATTGCCATAGGTTGTGTGAAGCAAGGATGCCTTGTGAATTAATGTGAGCGTGCTCCTAGTTACTGTGTACTTCCACCAGTAAATCAACCTTTGACATGTGTGCCATGTTGAACCAAATTAGACTTGAGGTACACCGTACATGATGTTTTACAATTGTGAACGAGCATGATGCTGAGCTGAATATCTCGGAAAGTGTTTTTTGGATTCAGATTCAAGTTGAGTAGGATCGAGCTGAACAATCTCTCTCACACGTCTTGGAGGAAGAGGAGGAAAAAAAAGTATGACTTAGAATTTTGCCTGGTGACGTTGCTCAAGTGGAACATATGGAGTAGCTGATTTTTATTTTGACAAATAGTTTGGTTGCATTCTTTTCGAACAGTGACCTTAACTTGTTTAAGATACTCATCATTCATCAATAGGCTTAATTCAACCACTCGACCATTATGCTCAGATTTTACTTGCCATGAGAGACATACTTACACCTTTTAACAATTGTTTACCATTGCACAGGTACAATCTGAAAGTTGAATGTGGCGCATCATCTAACAGATACAGCTCAAAAGCTCCTGATGCATGTTTCTTCTTTGCAGATAACCTTGTTGTAGTTGATCACAGCAATGGTGATGTGTATATCCTTTCCATACATGACATTTATCATTCAGTGGTTGGATGAAACTGAGAAAAGGCTTCTCAGGTTAAAAGCTACAGCTTCCCAAAGGCTGAATAAGAAAACATCACAAAGAGGATCGCATATTTCATTTAAGAAAAGCTTTGTTGTTGAGAAATCGAGGCAACAATATATCAAAGATGTCCAGAAGTGTCTGAAGTTAATTAGAGATGGAGAGAGCTATGAGCTGTGTCTTACAACACAAATGAGAAAGATAATCAAAGACATAAATTATCTGAAACTCTATCTTAATTTAAGAGAACGGAATCCAGCCCCATATGCAGCCTGGCTAAATTTTTCAAAGGAAAACTTATGTATTTGCTGTTCCTCACCTGAAAGGTTTCTAAGGTTGGATGGGAATGGTAAACTGGAAGCAAAACCTATAAAGGGAACTGTTGCTCGTGGAAGAACACTCGAGGAAGATGAACATCTTAGACTTCAGCTGAAATGCAGGTAAGGTTATCTTCTGACCAACATCCAGCATTCTTGATTTTAGGGATTTACAACATCTGCCAGATCTTTTTCCTAATTATATGGTCATGGCTTTTCTCGAGTTGACTGATTCAAAATTGTTTTTTTTATGATCAATTTTATCAATATCTACTAACTGATTTAATTTGTGATTATTTTTTATGCATATATTAGTTGAAAATTTAATATTGTACTCATTATGGTTTCGTGTGTATTTAGTGGTTCACTTTAAAATAATTTTACCTCAGGATAGTTTTTCACAAGTCCTTTAACATTTTCCTAGATATTTACATCATATACACTAATGTTCCCTAGATATGTACAAAATTTCATTACGCACCCAAGTATGAATAAACATTCATGGAATCCTGTGCAGGTTGTCAGGCATGTTTCATGTATGTGTTCCTTTTCTTTTATATAATCCATTTTTAGTGAGTAGTGATAATTTTAAAAATTAATATAAACGACTCCGCTTCTATGGTTAGAAAAGGAGATTAATTGTTCAACACCTAAGCCCAAAGCAAAAACATTTTCTTACTATTTTTTCGAACTCTCTCTTGAACTAGTAGGTAAAGGACAAGGAAAATCTAACTTGAAGTTCACCTATAAACCTCTACATCTAGTGAGTGTCAAGACTTGAATTCAAAAGTCTTGTAGCTTCTGTTTTATTGTTGCTAATGTTTCAATGACTGTACTCTTAAGCATTAGTCAATTGGAACATTTTTACAATAAATGAGATAATTGTTGAAGTGGGATGATTTTTTGAAAGTGGGATATTTAGTGGAATAATTGAGAATAATTTTTGAAGTGGGATATTTTGATAAAATGATATGGGATAATTTATGATAATAAAAAAGTATACAATTTATTCATTTTGATGATGTAACGATTATTTTATATTTTTAAACTTACAATTGTTTATTAAATCCAAACTTACTATTATTTATTAATAATAGTTTAATATAATGTTATTTACTGTTGAATAACTTTTGGTTGGAATACTATATATTGTTAATAATTATTATAAAAATAATTTGTACTTTTTTATTTTTATGAATTATTACAGTACAAGTCTAAAAAATTTAAGGTTTTTTTTCTATTTTCTTATTTTTCTCAATAATTTTTTAATAGAATATGAATATATGGTTTTTTTTACTTTAAAGCAATTATATAAATCTAATATTCAGTAAAAAAAAGAAAATAGCATATAAAGAAAGGAGTAAGAGCAGAGGTGATCTAATCTGATAGCATGATCATATCATGGGTATGGCAATGATCATCGGAGGAAGAAAGGATGGAGAAAGAAAAGAAAGCTGAAAAATAAAATTAAGAATTAAATATGAGGCTTTTAGTTTTTTACTTAGTAGTTCTAGGCTTCTAGCCTAGAACTTGGGATAATTTGAAAGAGTAGAACTCTCATTTTTGTATAGAGAAATGAAAAATGTGGGGTAATTTTTTTTAGCATTATCCCAATTCTAATTATGTTCTAGTTCTAATTGACTAACACTATAAAATTGTATCATAGTTCTAATTTTAATTGACTGACAGTCTGACAGTATACAATTTTATCCCATAAATTATCCTAGTTCTAGTTTTTAGTTCTACTTGACTAACCCCCCTCCTCCGACCCCACCCAAATTAGTTTATTCCAGCTCTTAATTTACACAGAAGTTTATAGCGAATGAAAAACTTCTTCAACTTGATAAGTCCATATCCTAGCGATACAAGCTCATTTACTGTTTCTTTTCTTTCAACAGCAAGAAGGACCGAGCTGAAAATCTTATGATAGTGGATCTTCTGAGAAATGACCTTGGCCGAGTTTGTGAACCTGGTAGTGTCTCTGTGCCTCACCTTATGGAGATAGAATCATATGCAACTGTTCACACAATGGTTAGTACAATTCAAGGACAGAAGTCATCAAACATAAGTCCAGTCGACTGTATAAGAGCTGCATTTCCTGGAGGTTCAATGACAGGGGCACCGAAGCTAAGATCAATGGAACTTCTTGATTCACTTGAGAACTCCTCTCGTGGTGTCTACTCAGGCTCTATTGGATTCTTATCATATAATCAGACCTTTGATCTCAATATAGTGATCCGGACTGTCATTATTCATGAGGGTGAAGCCTCAGTTGGAGCTGGAGGGGCGATTGTTGCTCTTTCAAATCCAGAAGAGGAGTATGAAGAAATGATGCTGAAAGCAAAGGTACCAACTATGGTTGTTGATGAGTATACTACAAGTGTAGATTCCTTGGGCAGAAATGTCGAGGTGGCAATTTGAAAGAAGCAAGACTTTGATTATTGTGGATGAATTTTCAAGAAGGTCGTGTGAGAGGATGGTGGAATATACGCATACTTTACATAGGAACTAAATGATTAAAAGACCAAGCATCAATAATGAAGTCGATGTGTACAATGGAGATCGTTGGAACATGGATGATGCAATTTATACACCTGAACTAGCGCATTGGTTTGCATTCTTTCATTATATTTACGTGTATTTCTGATTGTGTTCTGGCATTGCAATAAGGAAGATTGAAGCCTTAATGTATCTTTATCTGACATCTTGAGGTCAGAGATTCTGAGTAGTTGAATGGCTGAATATACTGCCCTCGTAATCAAGTATACTCGTGTACGTCTGAACTCTGTAGCCTTCATCTCATGGAATACTTGGGTTTACCATCAATTTTATCTGATTTCAGTTGCTACAGGTGTGACATCAGATGTTGAAAATAATGTCTTAATAAATAGTTGAAAGATGCGACTCCCAAATAGAATAGAATTACAGGATGAATTCTGAATAAGAGTTCATAAAAACTGGTCTCAGTAGTTAGTCTTGATTCAAAACTTGATTGCGTGAGAACATCGTTTTCGTTCTCCTATCAAGATCAACAAAAAATCTAATCCCTTTGAGCGCTCAAAATGTCACTGGCAAATTCAATGCTAAGAACCTGCATCACTTTTTCCACCATCCTTGCACATGAGATCATGTGATTTCCTGTTAGAAGCAGTAATAGTATAAGTAAATTTGATGTACTGAATCACTAATACTCACCGTCTGAAAATTCATATGCATCAACTCAAGTAAGTTTATGTTGGATTTTTTAACTGGCCAATCCTTTTGTCTTGATTTTATGCATTTCCTGATCAGTACAAAATTATGGGGGTTTATTGTGATTTTGAAAGTTACTGGGACTTGCAGCAAAATGCTTTGTTGTTGTTGTTGTTGGGGTGGGAGGGTTTAGTGTAGTTTACCCTAAAAGGTAAGATCTGACGAGTTCAATGAGATCTCTTGATCATTGATAGAACAATGGGGTGTAAATTGCCATAATTTCTATGGCATTAACAATATTTATTCTTCGCTATGTATTTACAATATGCTCATAAAAACTTGAAATTCAGTACTTAAAAATTCTCTCCCGGTTAGAATTTTGTGCAACACTCTCCATATATCTCTACTGGTTTGGTTAAAACCCAATCACATTATCTGTATTAGCAAAATTAATGCACTGTTGACAACTCTTACAAAGTAATGCTGCTTCCTAAAGAATAAGCACTTTACGGAATATATTATTAACCACTCCAACAATATTTAGTCACTCTTTCTTCTTCTTCCTCCTCCTCCTTATGTTATGACAAACTCCTCAATATCAATCACACGAGAGCACGAAAAATATCAAGAACACACGAACTCAAAAATATACGTGATTCGGCTTGTAGCCTACGTCCACGGGAGGAGGAGAAAACTTTACTAAATTGTGAGGAATACAAAGTAGAATCTCTCAATCTCAAATAACACCCCAAAATTCCCGTACAATCTCTCTAAATAAAAGGAACAAAAGAGAATAATATAAAATATACTTCACAAAAGAACTCTCTCTTCTTGATTGGTGCTCTGAAGATTGACGAATCTAATTGGCTTGAAAGACTGTTCTTATATAGCCTTGACGATCCCAACTCCTTGTTGTCTAAGAAATAAGAGTTCTAATAGGAATAGAAGTCCACGTGTCCTAAAACCCATCAAGAGTCCAAGTTAGAATAAACCTCTAATATGATTGGTTGAGCAAAGTCTAATGTAAGTAGGACTCTTGATCAAAACAAACCAACCTAAAAAGGAACTCCCAAAGCAATATGGATTTGAGTATTTGAGGCAACCTATAACAAATCTTCACTTTGACTCAAATGCGTAGAAGATTTCTCACTCCAAAATAAGCTAACTTACTCCACCTTCTCCAATAGCCCATAGGGCATCTAAGTGCGGCATGTATCGATCAAGTCCAAGTCCGGCTTGAACTTTCTAACTGAAAGAGGCCTCCTCAACAAATCGACTGAATTGTCTGCATGATGACCGTAAATATTAGCAAAGTCATCACCTGAAGTAGCTCCTGAATAGCTGAAGGGCACAAAATTGTCAACCGACAATGCATAAGCTATAATATCTTCATATCTTCACATGGTCGGATATCTCGTCTAGACCGATCTCCAGCAATAATGTATTCTCGCTCTTCCTGTAGTTGCTGAGGTGCTTCATCTACTTGAACGGGGTCTGGCTGTTGAACTCCCGTAGTCTTATCTTGCTGAAGAGCTGAATCACAAATTTCTAACTCCACCTTATGTCCTGTAGTACGCGCCTTATCATCAACTGAAACCGATGACCATTTCTGGTGGAACATAACAGATTCATCAAAAGTAACATCACGGCTAATAATAATCTTAGGAGACTTCGGATCAGGATACCACAACCTAAAACTCTTAATACCTGATGCATAACCTAGGAATATGCACTTCTTTGCTCGCGGCTCAAGTTTCCCTTGACTAACATGCGCATATGTAGGACAACCAAATATTCCAAGATTAGAATAATCTACAGGCTTATCGGACCAAACCTCCTCTAGAGTTTTACAACTAATAGCAGTAGATGACGACCAATTTACTAAGTAACAAGATGTATTCATTGCTTCCGCCCAATATTCCTTGCCTAAACCTACATTGAACATCATACGACGAGTTTTTACTAATAGGGTTCTGTTCATACGTTCTGCCACTCCATTCTCTTGCGACGTGCGAGGAACTATACGATGCCTAACTATTCCCTCATTCTTGCAGAACTCATTAAATTCTCCTCCATAAAACTCAAGGTCATTATCAGTTCTAAGCCTCTTAATCAGCCTCCCAGTCTGCTTCTTAATCAAAAGCTTTCACTGTTTGAAAGTCATAAACACCTCATATTTTTGTCTCAAAAAGTAGACTTAAACCTTCCTGGAGTAGTCATCGATGAAAGTCAATAAATATCTAGACCTACCACCCCTCGAGGCAACTTGAGAAGGCCCCTAAAGATTTGAATGGATATAATCCAAAGTATCTTTAGTCTGATGCACTGTTGTACTAAAGCTGACTCTTTTCTGCTTCCTAAAGATGCAATGCTCGCAGAATCCTAATTTTTCTATACTCTATCCACATAAAAGACCCTTCATACTCAACTCGGTCAATCCGTGCTCACTCATATGATCAAGTCTCATATGTCATAATCTGGTAGTATCAACTCCTGACATCAACGTTGCAATTGTAGCCGAGCCGGTAATGGTAGAACCCTGTAAAACATACAAGCTGTCGATCTTCTTTCCTTTTATAACCACAAGAGAGCCTTTTGTAACCCTAATAACTCCACCTTCACCTGAAAAACTGCACCCAATGCTATCAAGAGTGCCAAAGAGATAAGATTCTTCCTTAAACTTGGAACAAGCCTAACATCTGTCAAAGTCCTGATGACTCCATCATGCGTCTTAATCCGAATTGTGTCTTTCCCAATAGTCTTACATGAGGCGTTGTTCCCTATAAGAACAACTCCACCATCAATAGCTTCATAAGTGGTGAACCAGTCCCGATTAAGACACATATGATAGAAACAACCCGAATCCAAAATTCAATCATTCATGCTCCTGTTTATATCATCTGTAGCCAACAAAATCACATCTTCAGCAATATCAACTTCAGCGGATTCCTCCTTTGAGTTTTCTTCATACTCTTCTTATTTATTTTTGTTCTTCAATCTGTAAAATCAGTCTTGATGTGCCATTTCTTTTTGCAATATCTGCAGGACAGATTCCTGTGTTTCGACTTATACCTGTTACTTACAAAGTCCCTTCCTTCCAATCTTCCTCGAACAAACAAGCCATCAGCTTTATCGCCACTTTCACTTGTGGTTAACTCTTTGTCGATCTTCTCCTTATTCAATAAATTCTCTTTGACGTCTTGATACTAATAGAACCTCGATCGTAAATTATAGTATCCCTGAAGTGCTTGTAGGAAGGCGACAAAGAACATAATAACAATAGGGCTTGATCTTCATCATCGATCTTAACATAAATCTTACTCAAATCTGTAATCACAGAATTAAATTCACCAATATGAGATTTGATGGGTGTTCCTTCCGACATTCGAAGTGTGTACAAATACTGCTTCAAGAGGAGGCGATTAGTGAGCGACTTCGTCAAATACAAATCCTCCAATTTAGACCACAAATCAGCAACTGTTTTCTCCGTGAGAACTTCTTGCAAAACTTCATTTGTCAAACATAATTGGATCACTATGAGATCTCTATCATCCAACTCGTTCCAATCTTCCTCCATCATAGTAGTCGGTTTCTTCGACTTTCCTAACAAATCCTTCTTCAATCCACTCTGTGTCAACACGACGATCATCCTAACTTGCCAAAGGCTGAAACTGATATTGCCGTCAAACTTCTCGATATCCTACTTCATAGTAGTTGCATCGTCTTCTCATCTGATCGATAGCTGAGGGCTCTGATACCAATTTGTTATGACAAACTACCCAAGATAAGCTAATATCAATCACACGAGAGCACAAAAATATCAAGAACACACGAACACAAAGATATATGTGGTTCGGCTTGTAGCCTACGTCCACGGGAGAATGAGGAGAAAACTTTACTAAATTGTGAGGAATACAAAGTAGAATCTCTCAATCTCTCAATCTCTCAATCTCAAATAACACCCCAAAATTCCCGTACAATCTCTCTAAATAAAAGGAACAAAAGAGAATAATATAAAATATGCTTCACAAAAGAACTCTCTCTAATTGGCTTGAAAGACTGTTCTTATATAGCCTTGAAGATCCTAACTCCTTACTGTCTAAGGAATAAGAGTTCTAATAGGAATAGAAGTCCACATATCCTAAAACCCATCAAGAGTCCAAGTAGGAATAAACCTCTAATATGATTGGTTGTACAAAGTCTAATGTAAGTTGGACTCTTGATCAAAACAAACCAACCTAAAAAGGAACTCCCAAAACAATATGGATTTGAGTATTTGAGGCAACCTATAACACCTTATATATGTTGTTCATCAATTGTGAATAAGTATTTTTACTTTTTTTCTCTCTTTCTATCAGGGGAATTAGAGAAGTTACTACTTAGTAGCATGGGCCTAAAACTAGATGTTAGATTTGTTATCGTCATGTAGGGATCATCTTCTGAGCTCATTTTGATAAAAATGCATTGATAAGGGTCTGTTGGTCTCTGATGAAGAGCAATTTTGTACTAGGTTACACGTGACGTTTATCTTATTAAAAAATTACACATTGAAAACAAATAATAAACAGAATGAGGATGCATTGCTAAACATATTTGTGCTTCATTCTGAGGAACGTCTTTTGGTGGGATAACTGAAGACCTGATAATTCCTTCTTCGGTTCTTGCACGAGTAGAAGAATTTCTCCATTCTAATACCAGAGAGGGAGGAAGAATTAGGACCTCTCGTCAGCTCATGGTAAAAGTCTGAAAATCTGAGAGAACAGTAGCAAATATGATCCATAAGAGGAGAAGGTACCAAAAGTTACTATGAAAATTAGCTTAGATGCAAAATCAAGGTAATCTTAAGGGGAAAAGATTTCATAATTTTGTTTATAGTTTTCCGACAGAATCACTTGAGGAAGAAAATTTTGAAAGCCAACATTAAATTTTTTTAAATAAAAGGTAACTCAAATTCCAGTCATCCTGGAATTTGTATTAACTTCTTAGTGGAGACCCAAAAGACTCCTAGTATGACATGATGACATACTGACATGTAGCATTACAAGAAAGACAAATGGTTAAATTTACAAATAGCGTACTGAACTTCAAAAATGCACTTGGTTTCCTCAATAGTAATAGTTTTATGGATTGGAGACACAGAATTGGATCAGATATGCAATTTTGGAAATTGCATCTGATATATGGAATATTTTTCCAATCCTAATGTTTTCTTATCATCTCAACCTGAAATTAATTTCTGACATGCCTGACACACACGTCCCATTTGGGTTTTCCTTGAATTTGATTGTCCAAAAATTCCCAAATCAAAACGTCTGCGCGATAAACATATATATTATATAAAGTGGGAAAAAAGTCTTTCAGAAGATATACAATCATCATATTTCTTCTCTTCAAAAAACATGTAAACCAAAATGACTATTGCTTTCTGGAGTTTGACAACTCTACTTGAATTAGGACTCATTTCAACAGGACACTTTTATAGGCCATATTTATTACAATCAATAGCCAAACTATTTGTGGGGGCAGCTACTTGAAAAAATTTCATTTGAAAGGTTCAATGTTAATTAGGTTAAAGGGAAAACTTCACCTATTGATCCAAACATAAACAAACTGTAATAACACTTTTCATTTTTTTTCTTGTGTCTGACAGTCATTAGGGGCTCATCTGCAATTTATCAGTTTTAGCTAATTAGCGAAGAGTGAATTAATGCTGAGATACTGCAGCCTGTCAGATGTACTTCTAATGGGAGTTTAGCACAGAACTATCGTAAGGTTTTTTCCTGAGTTCAACAGTCATTAAGGGCTTGATTACAGTTTATCAGTTTCAAGTAACTAGCAAAGAGTAGTTCGGAGATATAGTGCATCATGTTAGATGTAGCTCTTCAAAAACATCAAATGAGTTGGCTTCTTGAAATCTACCTATTTAAAGACAATCATGATTGAGTAAAATTTGTCCAAAAAGGAAATTTTGGTCAAGTATCTGATACTTTTCACAAAGTCCAAACCCATTGAGATTCATTTATCAGTATCCACTCATACATATCGAGCATGAAAACGCTTTCCAGCAGAATGAGATAAAGTCTAAGATACTATGTATGAACAAAATCTTCATTGTGCTAGTGGCTTGTTTCTAAAAAAAAAAATTTTCTTGTAATGTTCTGCTATAATTAATCTGCATTACTCTAAATCCTAATTGTAGCATGTCTCTGATGCCATTGGCATGTGCAAAATTATCATTAACTTTTTCAAGGGGTTGTCAATCGCATTCCTCTCAAAGCTACAAAATTTGAACTTTTAATAGGGTTTTTAGATTTTAGTGGAAAAGTTCTTTCTTGTTTGATTATAAATCTGAAAGGTTACTAATCATTTAGATCATTTTTTGAGCGAATAAGGTGCCTACCGCCAACCTCTCTTATAAAATGAGAAATTTTCTCCAATGACTTATTTCATCACAAGCAATGGATCAACTTTCCATGTTCCTCTTTGAAAGTAGGGCACCAAAAGAAGTTGATACACAAAGATAGGAAATATGCACACTCAGTAACACCACAATTTCTGTACTTCCATGATGTTTAATGAACTTGTTTGCATTCCACCAAAGTGTCATTTCAATCTTATGAGCATTTTTGAATCATGTAAATGCTTAGTGCAAGAAACATATCCATATATTTACTAAATTTGTACATAGATCTGTTCCTTATCATTTTTCAATCAAAGAATGCTTCTTCAAGTTTGCATCTGATGTTCCTTTGAGCTATATTGGCAGGTTGGACATACTCCGAAACCATCGCTTACTTGTTTACAAATTTTATCAGAAAACCCACATGGGAGAAGAGTATTTTGAGTCGTTCATGGAAAGGAGTAGAGACAAAAATTCAGATACAATTAGAAGATTGTAACTATTTTCTACTTGACTCGGAATGAAACGCTCACATACGAGAGATGTTCTGATAGGATTTGTATTTTGATTGGTCGGAAAATATATTTTGCATCGAAACGGGCCTTACAATACAAAAAGTGGTAACTACAATTAAGAAAACAATAAGGAGAAGAAAAAAAAATGAATATCCCATAAAATCTTATCTCTTAAAAGATCTAACAAATTAGGGATGTGAAACAAATTCTTAATGGGACTTACTGCTGTTTGTCTGTTTATTTGTATATGCGTATATAACTTTTTATTTTTTCAAAGGCTGATTCAAAGCACTTGTACTATCCCCTGCCAAAAAGAAAAAAAAAACTGACATATAAAACCCCTTTGTCTTTTCTCTCTTTTTAACTGAGACGAGAAACAAAAACCAAGCCCTAGCCCTTGAGAAGAAATTGAGAGAGCGAGAGAGGGAGAGGGGGAGCAGTGATCCTCTTTGTTCTCATGGGTAAAATTTCGCCTCTTTCTTTTTCTCTTCAAATTATTTGCATTATATTTCCAGTATATGACATAAAATATTGTTTATATCCATGTTTATATCAGTATTTGATGATTGCGTGTATCAGGAAATATCAATATTTTCATTATTGGGACCTTTTAGATTGTTGGGTTTGTGCACAAACTCTTGAAACCCTAGATTAGGAGTACTATAATTGGGAGAGATGATATTTTTGTTGGTGAGGACAAGAATCAAATTTTTGAGAGAAAGGTTGACTCTTGGGTTTTTTCTTAGTTGCATGTTTACCAAAAGTGTCAGTAAACTCTAGTTGAATTAGACGTATTCTAGTTTTTGATGGAGGAAGAAGATACAGCATTTGGGTAAATAGAGGCAATCAACAAAAAAGAGTAATAATAAAATGGGGATTCTAGGTTTATTTAAAAAAACTACTTCGAGATTGCTAGGCCATTGTTTCCAAGTTCAATTAATGCCACAAAAACCCATGAAATGTTGAACCCATGAAATAAGGTCCAAAAAGTTGTCTCCTTAGTGATCAATTTGGAGGATGGGCTGCTAAATACCCAAGGTACTCTTTGTTCCTTTTACTCTCCTTACCTAGTCTTATTTATTTTCTTACTTTTCATTCTGTCTGTTTGAATTTAGGCAGAAATTGATTTGTTTATTGGCCTTTTGGGTAAGTGTATACTAGAGCTATTTCTAAACATTAGAAACTAAAAACCAAACATTCCCAGACTGTAGATTTTAAAATTCCAATGAAATAACAATGAAACTGCCCAAGCGAGCAGTTACCTTGTGTTTTTCATAGGGGTGAACCAGCTGATTTAGGCACTCCAACCACTCGACCTATGCATTCTTACTGTCTCATAGAAATGTATGACAACAAGTAAAAGATGAAGAATAGAAACATAATGAAGTTTTATGGAGAAACATTGTCAATCTCCTTTTTATCTTCCACCACCATGCACTATCCCTAGGCTCACTGTAGGGTCATTTTTTTAGTGCCTACACTCACAATCTAGAAGTTTACTAAATGTATCTGACTATGCTTCTGTATAGAGGTCGAAATATTTATAGATTGGTCGGAATATCTGGGTATATACCCCTATTGAACCCGACTTACTTCAATAAAAAGAATAAAAAGCTCTGTTGGGTCGGATTCAGTTATGAATTCTAACGTCCCCACCCCATGCTCCCAATAACTCAATATAACCTTAATTTGCCTCTCCTTCATTCTCAGAAAATAGAATGTGCATCTTGCTGGGGAGGCAAGGGTGTCTGTCGCTTGTGGGCATAATGCTAATACTAATTTATTTATTTCTTCTTTATCCTCATTGTCTTTTCCTTTTCTTCTTCATCTCCAGCTTCTTTCACATTTATCACCTATTGCAATGTGGCAAATCCTGAAAATTTAGGATATGATACCTTGTGAATATGAGGACATCAATAATAATTGTGTGCTTGTAGATTATTGTCAAAAACAATGAACTAGTAGTTAAGGTTTTAAATGTCGGATGTCGGGTTCATGTCGGACGGTTGAAATCCATGTCGGATAGCGGAAATGTGGGATATATCGGGGGACATGGACTAAATATCGGATTGTCATATCGGGTGGTGCGCATATGTATAATATAATATCTTAAATGTAATCTAAGCATTCTTAAATTCAATATAATCATACTTTATAAATTCTAGAGGCAGCGCCGACGATGGGTGGATTCCGACGTCGCGGGGAGGCAATGACGGAGCTCTTCTTATTCTTCTTTGTCTGCTCGGGGTCCTTTGGATGAGTCACTGACCACCCTCTTCCCTTTATCCTGACGACGGGATACCCTGCCACCCTCAGGTTCGGTTGGGGTTTGGATTTCTGGGCGCAACGGGAGATGGACGACGGGGGTCCGAGATGGAGGTGGGGGAAGGGCGTCGTCGTTCACGAAAGGAGTGATCGATTCCAAAGTCCGCTGTAGCCCTAATTTTTCTCTTTTCTTTCTATCGGGTTCATAAGAAACCTTTAAACATGAGAACGGGTCAAACGGGCTTGAGTTTTTATCACTAAACCCAAACCCAATAGCAAAAAACAGATCTAAAAAAAAGGGTCATATCGGCCGATTTTTCAAGGCTGAAAAATCAGCCGATATGCCCGATATGACCCCGATATTTTCGATTTGGCCCTAAAAACCGACATACGAGTTGAAAACACCCATGTCATGTCGCTCAAGCCCTCAAACCGACATGTCGAACATGTCGGTCGACATTTAAAACCTTGCTAGTAATGGTAGTCAACAAACCACCATTTAGATATCATAAAATAAATTGAGGATATAAATAGCCTTATACAGGAAACTAAGACTAAATATGTCAGGAGATTAATTCAGCTAAAGATGATTTTTTTTTTTTTTTGAAATGGATGATCGGCAACATGCTAAAGATCACACAAGAAATGAGTGTTCTCATATAAAGCTGATGCATAAAAATACTGTTTAGACCTTGTGTGCTGGAGATCAATGTGCATGTTAGCTAGGAATGGTCCTATCATAGTTCAAGGAGCATAATCTACGATTGATAAAGTAAACCTGATTGAAGAAGTATAAGAATACAGTAACAGTTGCTAATTTGACAACGGGATGCCTTTTAGTAGAATTGAACATGATTCAAGTAGCTGACCTCAAAATTGGGATTGAGCTCTATTGTTTTCATCATTCTGGTGGTCATAGTTGTTTATAAGGTTGAATCTCCATAGTACAATTTTGCCTGCTAACAGCAAATAACTATTGATACATGCCAAGATTCTACCGTTTAGCCCTGAGTTTTCATTTCACATGTAAATTGAGGCATACTACTGATTGCTTTATTGGACAATGTGTGCTGTATGCAGGGGTTTGCCTTTGTGGTGCTTTGTTACCTGGACCTGGAAATCTTCAATCAAGGTTAGAGATATAAGATTATATGCATTCATTTGGTTTGCTTTCTTTTTAATTTGCTGAAAATTTAGCTTCTCTCACGATTATTGTTATTGGGTTTATGATGACTTCATTCTGGGACATGTACATCATCCCAACATTTTACATACCCCTAATGCCATGAGAAATTCACCATCACGGTATAGTAGGATTGGTGCATTGATTCATTTATGTAAGTAAGTGATGAAAATTATTTGTCCCGCATCCTCTATAGTTAATGCAGGACTGTTATTTTATGTTAATCTAACTGATTGTCGTAAATGGAAAAGCTTTGTATCTTTACTGCTTGATATCTTCTTTTACATTCCATATGTTGCATGCTCCAATTGTGTTGGACTGCAAATTAATTTTATCTCTAGCATCCTAATGTTAATGAGTCTATGCTCATTCCTTATTCTACACACTCCATTCATGCAGGCAGTGAGTTAACCCAAAACAGTTCATATGGATTCCGTCTTAGACTTTCTTCCCTGAAATATGCATGAGGAGGCATTATCATCCCTTGGGTTCTCTTAACACCAGGAACAGGTGATAATAATGTTAATTCAGAGAGCTCTTCCTAATTTTCTAGGCACTGAACTGCCTTTTGCATCTGATATTGGATAACAACAGAACATGGAGCTATTGGGTGATCAGTTACCTTGTGGTGAAATTTGGCAGAAGTCGTCGAGCAATAAACCCCCTTTGAACAACAGTGGAAAATCTACTACTAATGGGGAAGAAGGAAGTAAAATAACGTCCTCTGAAGTTGCGGAAATTGCAAGAACTAGTTCTGATATTTCAGATAAGGATATGTCCACCAACTTTGCATCTAAAAGGGATGGCTTTGTGTATAAACGGACGCGGCTGAGGAGTAACACTATTTTGCCGGATAAGGATAAGCTGACAAACTCTGCATCTAAATGGGATGGCTTTGTGTATAAAAGGAAGCAGCTGAAGAGGAACAATATTATGTCTGATAAGGACATGTTCACCAACTTTGCGTCTAAATGGGATGGCTTTGTGTATAAGCGGAGACAGCTGAGGAGGAACACTGTTACTTTGCTGTCAGAAAAAAATGCAATAGATCATGATGAAGGATGTAATGGTCATAATTCGAGTGTAGTTTCCACAGGCAATCCGTTGACAGTGCAAAAGAACGTTCTTCCCAAAGTTCCAGTATTCACTAAATGCGGTTCCTTCAGACAGTCTTTAGATTGTGGAAAATCATCAATTTCTGAGAACTATGTACAGAAATCCAATGTCACTACCGGCTTGCAGATTATTGGGGCAAAGAATTCAGCATTACTTGAGTCAAAGCAAAACAACAGACTTTTTGTGGTTGCTCTTCCAGCGGAAATATCTGGTATACACATGAGCTCTTCGTCATCAAAATCAAACACTGCACGACATTCGCCTATCATAAAGACTGAAGTAGACTGTGGGGAGTGCTCTTCATCAGATGCCATTGTGAAAGAATCACTTGAGGCATTCACCTCAGCAAGGGAGTACTGCATCTCTGTCCTAAGAGAGCATGGGCTTCTTGTAGGGATGAACACCACCCACACTTGTGCTTCTTCTGAAGTCCAGGGTGTCAATGATGATAACATTTCTCAACCTTGCAAAATTTGTGGTCTGCCAGAAAATCCACTGAAAATGCTAATTTGCGACCACTGTGAAGATGCCTTTCATGTCTCTTGCTGTCAGCCAAAACTAAAAAAGCTTCCAGTCGATTATTGGTATTGTCAACCTTGTTTCAGAGAAAGACCCAAGGGCTTGTTGGAGAAGAGTTCTGGAAAGTCAGCTAACATTTTGTCTGAGCACATATATAGGGAGTCAGGAGGCCTTATATCATGGATGTTGAGAGACAATGAACCGTATAAGTCTGATGTTCGAATTGGCACAGCTTTTCAAGCAGAAGTTCCTCTGTGGACTGGACCGATTTCAGAGTATGTCCGTCTAATATGTCGTGTTTTTAGTTCTCACTACTTTTATGTTTGTCAATGCAAAGAATATAAGCATAGATTTATATCAAAGAAAGTAAACTGCATGCCATGGCCTGCTGTGAAGTTCAATCGTATGGTGTCACTAGTTTAAGTTAGGGGCATGCATATTCATATGCATGAGATATTTCTCATGGTCCATGCATTTCATGTTCCTTTAGTTAGGTTTCTTCACCCCTCATTCCTGTTTGGAGGAAATATATAAAACAATAAGTCAGTTTCCTCATATCATATCTATTTCTCATAACTTCCTTTTCAGCCATCCGTTTTGAAAAGTTTTCTAATATACAATGGAAAAAAACAACATTACATTGGAAGTGTCATATTAGATGATTTACCCATTATGCACAATTCTAGACACTTTATGTTGTTTTGCATTAAAACAAGATATTCAAACCACATTGTTTTGAGGAATCAAAATTGGTCAAGGATCCCTGTTCCTTTTTTCCCTAAAATTCATTGCATCACTTACAAGTGACAACTTCAAACTCATTATTTCTCGTCACAACATAATATGGAATGCAGTACTAACCCTTTTTAGCTGCCTTTGCTTTTTGAACCTTGAAAACTAAGGTTCTTAGTCCTGCACTTGTCTTTATCGACTCTCAAGTATCTGCCATTAACAGTGTTTTAAGAATTGGCTGATTTTATCGATTTATCGTCGATATATCAGGTTTGGGCGATGATTGTTTTGGCCGATTTTTGCTGATAGATCGGTGTGCATCTGATAAAATGGCCGATTTCTCGGGGTCTAAAAATCACCTGATTTTCGACAATATACAATCAGAGTGAACTGTTTTGGGTTTGGAGACAAAAACTCTCATTTTTCCATACCCGACCCACATTCATTTAATAAAAACAGCGCTATCCTATTCTATTCCACAATCCACTAAATAAAAACAATTGGTTAGTGATCCTAAACATGTGTTATTTACATATTGGTATGTTTATATATCATTAAATGTGCTTAGATTACATTTTAGGACATTGTACTATATATGCTCATCATCCGATATGACACTTCGATTTTTACTACTTATCCCCAATATATCCCAATAATTGGGATCCGATATGAATTTTGGATGTCTGATATATTTCCGATAACTGATAATTAACACTTTGGCCATTAGTGCATTCTAGGCTGTAGATCTTTGAAAGAAATTTACAATGAGATGATATAGATGTTAGAAATGTTCTCACTTTGTTTAGTCTCTTCTTTTTATACAAAATTTGTATCAGACAAACTATTCTTTTTTTGATAAATCTAAGTTGCTTTTTTTTGGGGGTGGTACCATTCCATTATTTCATGAGGTACTTTAATCTGTTGTTTTTCTATGTAGAGATTGTAACTATTTCAATGAACACTTGGAACTGGATCTTGCTGAATGTGCCAGTCTCAATGTAAGCTTAAGATTTATTCTGATAATGTATTTTGAATATGCTATCATGCCTTACGTACTTTCATTTAAGCATTTCATCTCATATGTAGGTCCGGAATTCTGAAAACCCATTACAATCTACCTCTTTTGGTAACTGGATTCAATGTCGAGAAGTTATACACACACACAGAAAAGACAAAGGCACTATATGTGGAAAATGGCGCAGGTAATTATTTATAAGAGTCGCTTTCGGAACATGATTATTTCCAGTGTTTTAATGTCTATAACTAGTATGTAAGAAGATTCAATTTGTTAGAATTTCATCCTGTTTTACTGATTACTTTGAGAACTTTTTCATATTAACTGATCCAGTTGTGTGACACTGGAGTTTGATAACTCCTAACCGATAAGTCCATGATTTTGCTTATGTATTTTAGTGGAAGAACAGATAGATTTGAGGAGAAACATATTTTCATTTGTTCTTTAATCTCAAACAATGTGATTTAAGTTGGATTATGCGTTTGTTGTGCAGACAAATATTGTATAATCTGGCATCTACATTTAGAAGAAATGATTTTGTTGGTTAGCTTTTTTTATACAGCACCAGTAGAGACATTAAAAGCAACCGAGCAAGTTAGTGGTCCTTAACCTGGCAATGTCTGGATGCTTCATGTGGTCACATATTATTATGGCAAAATATCTAACTATAATATATAGTGTAGCCTTAGAGGCTATATTTAAAGGTACACGGTCTAGCTGAGGTAAATGGTAATCTCAAATTGTGAAAGGTTCACATGGCTTTGCATGCCCGTCACAGTGCAGTATACATCTGAACTAGATCATGTCGTGTTGCATCATGCAGTCACATATCATTATGACCAAATGTCTACAATGGAGCCTTATATGTGGTATTTATAGATACATGTGATGTTTAGATGAGGTAAATAGTTATCTTAACTTACAATAGGTCCACATGCATCAGAATGCTCTCCATGGTGAAATATACATTACAACTAGCATCTTAATACATATTTAAATCTTGGAGTCCCTTGCCCTGAATTCAATCAAAGATTCTTAAGTGGAGGAAATGGGATTGAGTTTTTTTGATGAAGTCATAGAATAGAAGTCCAGGGAGCTATACATTCTTGAAAAGTGTTTTCAAAGTCATGGCACCGATTGATTTATGATTCTTTGAAAGCTGCAAGGTAAGTTTCGTAAGAATGCAGTTGCCCTCATCACATTTTTATTTGTGGTTGCCAGTATGCTTTGGAACATTTGGCAGGTCATTGTGATAATCAAACATGCTTTAAACTTCATTCACAAAAGAATAGGCGTATACAAGATGTTACAGAACATGAATCAGACCTAAATTGTAGATTACTTTGATCCTCATCAATTGTCAGGTAAAATATATAAATTGATACCACAATTCTCGCACCCTTTAACACCACTGGATGAAAAAAAAAGAACACTATTTACATCAATGAATAGGAAAACATGCACTTGGATCAAAAATTCGTGCTAGGTCCAGTAGGACCAGTACAACGAATGTTCATGTGTACTATGCAGTATACATATAGTCACCCAAACAGATGGTTTTCTAAGGGTGTTATCAGCTCACACATAATAATCGGAGACGTTCTAGCATTTACTATTTGCATCATATTTTCATTGCAATATATCCTTCTTATATTGAAATATATTAACTATTGGACCCTGTTTGGATTGAGGAGAATGAAGGGTGGGAAGGGAGGTAAAAAATCCACCTCGTTGGGAGTCTTTTTTGGAGGGGAATTAGAATGAAAAGTTCACCTCTCTTCACTCCCTATCAATGTAGCTTGGTCACCCCCAAACTTTTCTTTTTTCTTCTTTTTTGTTTTGTTTTGTTTTTGTTTTTGTTTTGTTTTGTTTTTTTGGTTGGGGGTGGGTGGGAGGGGAGGGTGAGGGGGGTGAAAGGGAGGGAGGGGACGCTTGTTTCCCTTCTCCTCCCTGCCCCAACTCCCAAACAAGCTGTTAGTGAGGAATTTGAATCATTATCCTTTTAAATTCTAATTGTAATCTAATCTGTGACACTGGTTTACCACATTATTAGAGAAAAAATTGTAACGCTCACCACAACTTCACAATTTTGGTGAAAGGGATCTTGACATGGTATTACAGCAAGTTAGCAATCCACATTCAATTGCCACCAGCCACGATTTAAAGCAGATTTAAAAAAATTGACACCCCTGCGTGAGTTCAGCCCAGAAAAAGGGCGCTGACCTTGGAAGAGGTGTAGTGGAAGTGATCTTTGACAATAACTTATTATAGTTTGTACAAGCCAACATTTTTACTCTTTTTCCACTAACCTATATTCTTTAATTTGTAAAAGAAGTGAATAAATATCTAAACTTATACATGCACATGTGTGACAAATGTACGTTATAATAGAAGTTTCTGTGCTATATAAGAAATAGTATAAATATTCTCTAATTTAGGGCATGAAACCTTGTCAGAGACTCAGAGATCATAATTGTAGAAAATGATCCATGTACTAAAGGTATTTTTGTTTTTCCTTTTCATTAGCATTTTTAATGTTTTCGGTTCAGTAGTTTTACAGTTTTACTATGTTAACTGGAACATTTCCATATTCTAGACCTAACAAAAAACTTGAGGTTGCTTCCCATCTGGGTGAAAAATCTGGTCTGCCTCTGTCTAAATAGAAGTCGTACACTGTCTTTCTCTTACTCCTGAGAAGCCTCCCTGTAAAATATTACTTCAGGCTATGACTTCTTTTTTTTCTTTTTTGTTGTGTGTGTGTGTGTGTGTGTGTTTTGTTGGGGGGGGGGGGGGGGGGGGGGGGG